AGTTCCAGGGGATTATACTTTTTCTTCTGGCCTGGGCATACACATGGTGCACAGACACACATTTAGTCAAACCAGCCATAACACATAAAAATAAATAAATAAAAATTCTGAGAGGATGGCAGAAGTAAAACAATCCAGTGGCACCAGTTATCACAGAAGTGACTTGAACACTCACATTATGGGACATATGTTTCACAGTCTTTGTTCAAGTCACTGCACAAGCAAATTCAGCATTGAAGCAGAAACATTCTGTATGTCTTAGCTAAAAGCTAGAATATAGCCAGACAATCTGAGTGAAGTTTAAGAGAAAGTCATGCCTGCCATTAACAAAGCCCTCTTCCCAGTGCCAAGAGAACAATCAACAGTGAATTGATGAGGCGAAACCTCTTAACACACAGTGGGGAAATTAAAACCTTGTTAAGAAGTTCAATGTGTGACAATCTGGACAGTGCTCAAATACACAAAAGGACAGAGCTGTGGAGTGGTTCAGGTTTTAGCAAATCTGCCACTGGGGAAAAACAATGTCAAAGACAAAGTTAATGTGAGAGAAAGAGCAGATAAATGACACTAAATAGAGCCCCCAACTCATGTGCCAAATCATCTTTCACCCACTCCAATACAAGGGAGATGACCAATGGAAGTAGGAAGGAAGTGGGGGAAGAGTCTGGAAACTTCTCTAATCCTAGAATCTTTCCTTTTCCCTCTCTTCTTCCCTCTTGCCTTCCCTCCCTTCCTTTCCTGTCTTCCTCACTTCAGTGTTGACTCAACGTAGATCCCTGCACATGTTCAACAAGCCCTCAGCCACCCATCTGCATCTCCAGCCTGCACTAAGACCTTCCACACACTCATCATTATTCAGTTCTATTTTCAATTTTATCAGCTTGTCTATGTAGCTTGATAACTATTTTTTAAAACCCTTGTTTATGCCTATTTTCACTTTCCTACTGACTTAGATCTGAGCAACTTATTTTAGTGGAAATGCACAAAGAAGTAAGATTTGGCCATCAGTGCTGAAAGACATGTTATGCTAATGTACATACACAGCAGGTTTAGATACTTGCTGACTAGCTTTTTATTTTGTAAAAGTTGGCTAGGCTGCAGAAGTAGGTGTCACTGCCACGTTTTATGATAATTAGCAGTCATCCTATGTCTGATCTTCAGTTTCTTCATCTACAAAATACTGGAATCAAGTTATAAGGTTCAGAGTCATTTTAACTTTAAAATTCTCATTTGCATTTTACACTGTGGCACATATGAAATAATTTGATCACTAAGGGATTTCTTTTCCATCACAAATGTAAATTTCTGTAATGATTAAGTTAAATAATAGCTATGCTTAAAAATAATTAAGAAGTAACTATAATTTTGGAAGATGATGAAGAACACTGAATTTAAAAGTAGGTGTAAACTAATGAGACAAAAAAAAGTTAAGAGGGCAAAAAGGAAGCCAAGCACCTCATGGTTTGCATTAGAATGCTTTGAAAAATAAAAGGTGTACAGTATAGAAATTCTGCTTAATATTAAATTTTTAATGAATATTTTGTATTCTAAATTTTTTTTTGGTTTAGTTTTAAAGATTCCTGCAAAAAAAAAGAGAAAATAAAAGCCCTGAAAATTATGACTGTTTTCACCAAGATAGTGAATGAAATCCAATTGAGTATCAGCGGTTGAAACTGGAACACAGTGTTGCTAGCTGTGGAAATATTACATTTCACAGACAAACAAACAAAAAAAGATAATAGCTTCAAAAACTAAAGTGATATCATTTTAGGACACTAAGTATCAACATTTCTAAGTAGTAGGTAAACGGTTTTAAAGTTATATAAAGGAAATGATTATTGAAGACCTCAGCTACCAATTTTGACACATTTGTTATTGTCCCCTAACTGCTTAATAGAAAATCAAAGTCTCCACATTTTAAGTGAACTTATTTAGCCATGTAAAATTTCATGTTTACTTTCAAGAGTCAATCAAAAGCTATTCCCTGTCAAGTAATTTTAAGTTGTTCTCTTGATCCTTGTATGATGGCAGATGCCCGCTCCCTGCCTGCAGGCAATGCATTAAGTAGTTCCCTGGGACTTTTGCTTAGACTTCAAGATTGCCCTGAGTTTGCTCTGCCCCAATAAATTCGAGGACAGTAGACTTCTCTTTTGTTTAATCATTCTGCAATAGTAGAAGCATTCGAAATGATAGGTTATTGTGGAACTTCTTATCTAATGACTGTATTGTAGATTTCTCATTTTAAAATAAAAACTGATTTTAAATTCTTCATACACTGCAATCAGGTTACTATTTTCATACAATTATGGAAATTTAAAATGCAAAGTTAATTGAAAGTATAAAGATGAAAAGCAAGTGCTATGCTTAAAATAGAGTACGACAGTCATGTTTCACTTAACTCTCAAGGCAGAACATAAATTAAGAATTCTAGATGTGACATGCCAAATATTTTAGACATGGAAGAATGCATACAACAGAATTGGTACTGATTACAAACTTAAACGCACAACTTATAAGGCAACAAATTCATGCTCAAATGTTGACAACAAATAATGTGTTTCATACTTCAGGAAGTGATAATGAGTATAAATCCCATCACTTCTGCACATAGTACTAAATTCATAATAGCATTCCTAAGTTCTATGCTACACCCAGAGCCAAAATATCCATAACGAGCAAAACATTAATGTCACTGTGTACCTAGCCTAAGAAAGTATTTTTGCTCATAACAATATTTAAAAGAAACAAGTATTACATGACATTCCATTAAAAACACATAGTATAAAATTGAACTGCAGAGGTATGTACAGTAAATCTGCCTTATTCTCTAAATGTTACTCTATTTTTATAAGTGAGCAGTTTCTATGCGTAACTGTATTGAGAGTTAAGGAAAAATTATTACAATTTCTGTTGTTTCCCTTACACTTTTGTTGCTCTGTCCCTTAAGATGTAAGAATTATATAGTTCAACAGCAGAAGAACAAACAAAATGTCTCAAAACATACCAATGTGAAGATTTCTCCACAGTAAAATCTGAATCAATAAAATATAAGTTACATTTGTACACTCTCAAATAAATTTGAAAACATAATGACAAAAATAAAGATGCTAAAACACTCTCTCTTTAAAAATCTAGTAAGTATATTCACAAAATGGTGGTATATATTAGGGTTTTTTTTTAATTGAAGATTTGAATAATCATCTAAGTAAATAATTTCACTCCCTTCATGCAGAAACTGTGTGAAATAAGGGAATAAACACAAGCCAGATCACCCCTTCACACAGTTCTTTTTAACATCCATTCACATAGGCGCACCTTTTCGATACTGATAATATAATTAGACTGTAATATCTAAATAAAGATCCTTTCTAAATGTGCTGCAAATTGCAAGTGATTTTGAGACCTATTTCAGAAAGCGTTGTCACCCAGAACTCAAGACATCCCACTGCATACTTTATCTGTCAATTTACTTTCTTCCCTCATACTCATATGCCTTTTCCCACTCCCAAATTAGACTTTAAAATCCCTGAGGGCAGGACCTATCTATCTCTTTATTCCCTCTTGTACCTAATATTGTGGCAAGTGAGTTATGGGGTGCTCTGTGCTTATAAATGGATGGATGTATGACTGAGAATGGAAATATAGGCAAATCCCATAGTCATCAAGGCATTTTGTTCCTCTTATCTCAACCTAGTCAAATGAAATGGATCCGGTAGCATATTGCCATAGTTAAATGTATACATCAAGTTGTACTCTTGTGGAAAACTTAGGTGAACCCTTCAGAACATTACTCCCTGTGTTATACTTAGCATAACATCTAAAGGCTGAATAGTAAAGGTGCACCGTGCCTATAATGAAAGGACTGCACTGTATTTGATCAAATATTTGGCTTTAAAAATATCCAGACAATGGGTTTTTACTGCCAGAACCAACAAAGAATAGGATGTGCCAGTGTGTGGCATCACTCTTCAAGATGTTGAGAACATGTCGAGGCAGCATTGTGTTCTGAGTTTGGGAACACTAAAAGACATCACGTTAAATCACATTCACTAAAGCAGTATAGTACATCTGTATAAAATATCTGGTGTCCTGTTAAATATTTCATACATCAGAAAAGGAGAATAGGAGCAGAGCCTCCAAACGCTCCATGAAAAATTCATTTTTAAAGGCCAGGAATATTTTCTAGTAACCAGTGGGGTTCTCTCTGTGTGAGTTAAACTCTTCTGGAGAGTTCTCTTAACTTTTCTCAGTATCTTTCCTTGTTTACCTTCCTGTTGTTTTCTTTCTATCCGTGTACCCACAAAGTAATTACATCTTAAAACATACATCTCTAGACAATGTATCTTTATAATTTGTCAATCGTTGGCAGTGTTCAGAGGACCTTTTCTCATTAATGGATGAGATAGCAATGGCATTTTTATGAAGTAATGCTAGTAGATTGGTTCTGAAATTTTAGCAGGTCCATTGTCTCAAAACACTCTCTGTATGACCAAATTAAAAATACCAGACTTGAAGATGTTCCAGCTTAGGAAGAAAAGCACTATAGGAATTGAAGGGGACATAGTGAACCAGCTAACTTCACAGTGATCATTATCACAAGGTTTACCATCTCTGGCATGAGCTCTGTGACTCTGGAACATTTCAATATTCAAGACATCAGAGACTTCTGTAACACATCAGAAGCAATGGATCAGGTGGCTTTGTAACCATTTGGAAACCACTGTGGTGATGAAGAGAGTGTCAAGCAGGGAGGAGAGAGTGAGCATGGAGAACATGATAGCCCTCCCAAAACCCGCTGATGACCTCCACTGCTTCAAGCTTTAGACACTAAAATTCTGAGCAAAAGTTACTTTTCAAGGGTCCATATAGTTTCTAAAGTTCTAGTTCCCTGTAATCTTCCCTAGTTCACATTTTTAGTATGTTTCATCTCATTTGTGTGTGTTCTTGGTTCAAGTAAACAAAAATTTGTTTTATTTCTTTCTACTATTTTATGTAGCTTATTATACATTCATAACATCTTCCTTCTTATATGAACAGAATGAGTCGTGTCACCTTTAAAAATAAAATTAATGACAACATGGAGATTGGAAAAGTCAAGACCTGCCCATGCTTAACTTTAGAGTTATCTTTTCATGCTGCCTTTGGGACACTTAAACACTGTAGTGAATCATCATTGAGGTAGAACTAAAACAAAACACAGCAAAAAGAAGCAAAAACATTTACACAAAGCAGGAGACACAGAGGAAGCTGTGAGAAGTTCCTTTTTGCCTGTTGGTGTTAGGCTTTGCAGTCTTCCTTGACACACAGCTGGGAAATGGTCTTCTTCACACGAAGGGCTGTCAGGCGGGCTGCCCCATTGGCATACCAGCACTCACGCATGATTCTTCCCATGACCCTGAGTGCCTTTGGGAGAGAAAGACACCAAAGGGTTAAAGGTGCACCAGCAGGGTACAAAAGAAGTGAAATAAAAAAAATCAGGGGAAGACTGAGGAAACCAGGCCAAACTTCTGTAAAAAAATCATTTTAAAAGGCATGAACATTAACCTTGTAAAACATTAGCTTAAATGAAGTCATTGATTCTGAGACATAATGGTAGCTATTTTTGAACTCCTCCAAGAAGGGCAATGATAACTAAGTGCTATTGTGCAAGCTCATAGTCCCTGTATTTGGGAGTTGGAGGCAGGAGCAGCAGGAATTCAAGACCAAGCCATCTAGATGAAAATCTGTCTCCAACAAACAGCTAAAAAGCAACATGAGCAAATTGGGAGCATGGAGGGAGAGGAGAGAGAGAGTTAGGAGAAAGAGAATGGGGAGAAGTAGAAGGGAGATGTGGGCATGAGGGAACAGGAAGATTGAGACAGGGCATAGAGGAGAACAAGAAAAGAGATACCATAATAGAGGGAGCCATTATAGATTTAAGGAGAAATTTGGCACTAGGGAAATGCCCAGAGATCTACAAGGATGACCCCCAACTAATAATCTAAGCAATAGTGGAGAGACTACCTTAAATGCCATTACATGATAATGAGATTGATGACTACCTTATATGCCATCCTAGAGCCTTCATCTAGTAGCTGATGGAAGCAGAAGCATACACCCAGAACTAAATATTGAGTTGAACTCCTGGAATCCAGATACAGAGAGGGAGGAATGATGAGCAAAGGGGTCAAGGCCAGGCTGGAGAAACCCATAGAGACAGCTGACCTGAACAAGGATGAGCCCCCAGTCTGATAGCTGGGAAACCAGCATAGGACCAACCCAGATTCCCTGAATGTGGTGTTAGTTAGGAGGACTGAGCAGTCTATGGGGTCTCTAGTAATGGATCAGTATTTATCCCTAGTATACAAATGGACTTTGGGAGCACATCCTACAAAGAGGGATACTTTCTCAGGCTAGAGGCATGGGGGAGGGCCTAGGCCCTGCCCCAAATGATATGACAGACCTTACAGACTCCCATGGAAGGTCTCATCCTCCCTGGGGAGCAGAAAGGGATGGGCTGGGGTTTAGTGAGGATGATGGGGGAGGATGGGAGGGTAAGGGAACTGGGATTGACATGTAAAAACCTTGTTTCAAATTTAAATAAAAAAGGGGGAGAAAAAAGATACATGAGCCATCATGGAAGGAAGGGTTTGGCAATAGTTTCAATTCTCAGTTACATTTCATCAGATGTGCACACACATGAAAAGAGTCAAGGGGAAAACTAAGATTTACACTATTACCATTCATAATTGCATGCTACAAATAATGATCTGAGAACAAATATAAAACGTTAGTATGAATGAACTATCAAAGAAAGAAGGCAAATACTGTGGTGATATAGCCCCCACAGACTCATATGTTTGAGTGTTTTGCCTGTAGTGGGTGGCACTGTTAGGAGGTGTGGTCTTATTGGAGTAGGTATTGCCTTGTTGTTGGAAGGGTGTCACTGTGGAGGTGAGTTTTGTGGTCTCATATATGCTCAAGTTATTCCCAATGGGACATAGTTTACTTCCTGTTGCCTACAGATCAAGATGAGGAACTCTTAGCTCCTTCTCCAGCACCATGTCTGTCTGCACATTGTCATGTCCCACCATGGTCGTGATGACAATGGACTCAACCTCAGAACCTGTAAGACAGTCCCCATTAAATGTTTTCCTTTATATGAATTGGCCTGGTCATGGTGTCTCTTTACAACAAGAGAAACCTAACTAAGGTAGTACTTAGAGGAATAATCAATGTAAAAGCATAAAACATGGAAGACCCAGGGAGTCACTGTAGCAAGAGGAGCTCCAGTAGCATATGTCAATCTTCTGTTCTAGAAAATCAGAGATGAGGACCACATGTGAAAGACAGGAAAGCAAAGAAAACATTTAAAGGCACACACACACACACACACACAAAAAAAGACCCAAATGTAAACATGAATCCTTAGCTGTCAAGATGGTTCAGCAGGTAAAGGTGCTTGTAACAGAGCCTGTCAACCTGAGTTTGATCTTGGGACCCACATGCTAGAAAGAGAAAATTGACTCCTGCAGGTTGTCCTTTGGCCTCTGGTGAACATGCCCTGGTACATGTGTGTACTCCCACTTACGTATAAGAAAGTAAACATAATAAAAGTAAATGCATGTATATAAATCTTCCCTCAAAAGGAAGTTTGTAAGGAAAACCACTTACTTGGACTTAGGGTGAAAAAAAAATCTGCCCAAGTTTTTCAGTGAACCTAAACTCATAATAAAATTCTGCACTCAGAGAAGGGGAAGGGGTACAATAAGCAAGAATTAATCAAAACAATAACCAACAGAATCAGATCCATGAAACATCCATTATTAAAATTCAATGATAAGAAATGTGTATTAAAAAAGAAATAATGCTTGAACAGCCTGGGGCTGGGGTTAATACAACAATTTCAGAACCAGTAAAAGTTCTTGGTATGAGAATAAAGAATCCAGTAGATAAGTTAAATGGCGGATTAAACATATCTGTGGCAGAAGTAAAGACGTGGAAAAGAAATCTAGGGGATTAAGAATACAGGTGCCAACAGGAAATACCCCTGAACTAAAGTAAAATCTGAAAGGTTTAATAGCAGCCAATGAGCTGTCCAAAAATAGAAAAGGAGACAATGAGAGAAGAATTATCTGCAGACGTATTATCACTGGATATTTTGGAACAGAGGAATTTCACAAATCCTTACAATCAGAACAGTCTTTGTCCCAAACAAGCTTAACCACAAAGCTGAATTTATTGAGAGGCAAAAGCAGGAGGACTCCTACAAGTTTGGGTTACACAGTGAGAGCTTCCTTAAAAAAAAAACCTAAAGTACCTACAAACAAAAAGGCTGGCCATGAGACATAGAGAAATTGCAAAGTAGTAAAGAGGAAAGTTCTTTAAAAGCAGTTAAAGGGGATGGAGAGAAGGTGTAGCTGTTAAGTGCACTTGTTTCTCTTGCACAGGGCCTGGGTTTAATTCCAAACACCCACATGGTGACTTACAGCCATCCATGACTCCAGCTCCAGGAATCCAAAGCCCTCTTTTGACTTTCCTGACCACCAGCTGTGCACATGGTATGCATACACACATGTGGGCCAAATATCCATTCATATAAAAATAAAACAAATTTAAAGTAGAAAAGGCATTAAAGAATCAAACTTTTATTAAGATCAAAGTCCATTTTTATTGAACCTAAAAATAAAAGTATATAGCAGTTGGCACATTCAAGAGTAAAAAAAAAAAAAAAAAAAAAAGTTTTAAGGAGCAAAAGCATTGCCCACCACCACTTCCAGGTAACATTATATCAGAAATTCCAGAACCATAGTAAGAAAGAAGGAGCAGAGAGCTGTACCTGTCTAAGTGGATACAAAAGTATAAAGATCTTCATATTTTCCAAATTTTTGAACATATATATTTATATAGCATGATGGATACTGTCTTTTTAGATTTTTTAATTGTGTGTGTCAGAAGAAAGCATCAGACCTCCCCCTCCCCCAGAACTGCAGTTACAGGCAGTAGTGAGCCACTATGTGATTGTTGAGAACTGAATTCTGTTTCTATGCCAAAACAGTAAGTGATCTTAACCACTGAGCCATTTCTCCAGCCCCGGCAATGGAAGTCTAACTTTCAATCAGGAGAAATTTGGAATCACCTTCATAATACATTAATTTCTGGAACACTTTAAGAGAAAAGATCTACCTCAAATGGGGGTGACACATTCCATGGCTGACATCCTGGGCTGAGTGAAAAAGAGAGAAACAGCTACGCATCACTATTCTCCTCTGTGCTTCCTGATCCTGAACATAGTGTGTAGTGGTGTGAATGAGAAAGCTCCCCTTAGGCTTGTATGTTTGAATGCTTGTCCACAGTTAGTGGAACTGTTTCAGAAGATTAGGAGGTATGGCCTTCTTAGAGGAGATGCGGCCCTGTGTGTGGGCTTTGAAGTTCTGAAAACTCCCACCATTCCTGTCTCTCTTTGCTCATGCTGATGAAACAGATGTAAGTTCTCAGCTACTGCTCCAGCACCATGCCTGCCTGCCTGTTGCCATGTATCCCACCATGATGGCCATGGACTCTAATCATCTGGGACCATAAGACCCAAAATTAAATGCTTTCTTTCTTATGTTGCCTTGGTCATGTTGCCTCTTCACAGCAATAGGAAAGAAACTAAGACACATTGTTACCTGCTGCCATGCCTTTTGCACCATCATGACACCTTCAAACTTGAGCTATAACTAACCAATCCTTCTTTAAGTCCTTTTGGTCAAGTATTCTGTCACAGCAAGAATAAAATTCACTAGTACATATAGCAACATCATTTTTAATAATGTTATAAATCACAAGTGATAACTAATACTAGAATAGAAAAATTCTCTTATATATACATAGCAATGAAAATGGACAGATTGCTCATATATATATATATATATATATATATTTCTCATATATATGATGAAAAATTAAAAAACATATTTGTAATAAGTTTTGCTCATAATTTCCATAAATATACAAATGCAAATATTTTTTCAAGTTACACACATATGGCAAAAATCTAAATAAAAGCAGAAAATAATGAGAAATCATTAATATTAACCACTCAGCAAGGCAGAAAATTCCTCAAAGATTTCAGAGTGTTCTACTTTTCAAACTGTGTATTCACACATTTTCATTTAATTATTATATTTTAAATTTTACCAGTTTGTATCTCCTTGTGCTTAAAACTGATAATAGCTGGGTATGGTGGTGCATGCCAGCGATAGGGAAACAGAGGCAGGTGGATCTCTGTAAGTTTGCGACCAGCCTGGCCTACAGAGTGAGTTCCAGGACAGCCAAGGCTGCACAGAGAAACTCTGCCTTGGAAAAAAAGACCAACAAAACAAATACTATTAGAAAAAAATAATTATTTCTGTTACATTATACAAGCCCCTTCTCAAATAACAGTGTTGAGATAACTACACAAAAGACAAAAATAGTAAGACTTGCCTTAAACAAAAGAGCTAAAATCATGGAAGAAGGAAACAAATGGGATAAAGGGGCAGCTACATAAGAAAAAAAAATCCTATAACAAAATAAAAAGTAACAGTGTCACATAAAATGGCCTTATTTATTATATTCAAATAAAACAGAAAATAAACAGTAGTGATTGGAAGGGAAGATTGAAACACATAATAGGGGAACAACACTTAGGAAGCATTTATGGGGGGCAGAATAATTTCTGCAGACTGTGTGTCCACCATGGTTTGGTTATAGTCCTGGATTGCCTACAATGACAAGACAAATGACAACTGGATCTAAGGTGGGAGGGGGGCCTTTTCTGATGAAGAAGGTTAAGCTTCAGACAGCTAGAGATTAGTGTTACCGAGCACTATATGAATTAGTCACTGATTTTATCCATGTCCTTCATTTCCCAGCCCCTTAAAGTATGGTGAGACCATGTGACTGGTTCTATGAGGCATTAGTGGAAACCATGTATCCCTTGTACCAAACACTGAAAAGCTAGTGTGTGCACATGTGTTTCCTCTCTTTGCCAGATATAGAGACCTGGAGCCTGCATGGGGATGGCAGCACCAAGGAGAAAGAAGTAAGGATGACTGTTGAGTCACCTTGGTGAGGACATGTCACAGACTATATTACTTAAACCACAGAGGACTTCAGAGAAGCATTAATGTCCTGTTGTCAGAAGCCTCCAGGGCTTAGGAGGTTCATGTCATGGTCTCACACTGCTAAAGGGAATAAAATCCCTCTAAAGACATAAAAAAAAAAAGGCAACTCTCTATATATAGAATAAACTAAGCAACTGGGTTAAGAAAGAACTACATACTCTGAAAATCCTCACTGATACTAATCTGAAAAGTAAAAATAGAAAGGAATACATGAGAACATAGCTTGTGTTGATCTCCAGTGGATGAAAAAGAGGAGGGAGGGGGGAGAGGAAGGAAGAGGAGGGTGTAGAATGCAGAAAGAGGAGAGGGAAGAAAAAGAGGGAGGAGGAGGATGCAGAAAGGGGAGAGGGGAAAAGAGGAGGACACAGAGAGGAGAAAATAAAAGCCTTACTTCACAGCTTTGCCACTGGTTCGGGATACTTGGTCGGAACTTCTGGTCACAAACAACCTTTCTCATGTCTTCTATCGAAGGGTCTGAAGGCACCATGTCGTAATAAGGCAACTGGTACTCCTCAACCATTCCTAAAAGAAATTTGCAGAATAAGTTTCCCTACATATATATATAATCAATAATGATGTGTATTTCACTCTGATACACTTGGCTCGTCCATGCACACCTGATATTCAGGAAACAAGGAGTATCACTTTTGTTAAAATATGCCTGGTCTTCCAGAGATACTGAGGTCAATTCTCAGCAACCATGTGGTGGCTCACAACCATTTGTAATGAGATCTGGTTCCCTTTACTGGCCTGCAGGGATACATTCAGGCAGAACACTATATACAGTAAAGAAATAAATCTTAAAAAGTAATAATATGTCGGCCCCTCCATGTGGGATCATCTTGAGCCTGCCCTCACCTGACCTTTGGGCCCCTTTGCCAGCCTTCTGCCTAAGGTGAGCCTGGGACCAGCCCAAGCCAAATTCCTCCACCCCTACATCCTTTCCTGGAAACTTCCTGGGTTAGCTCTGAAACTTCCTCCTCACTATAACCTTGGCCTGAGTGGTCCAGTCCTGGTACCCCAGACCATCCATGAACCACAGGCTGCCTTCCCCTCATCTTTGGCCCTGATGGGCCCACTGCTCAGGCTGAGCATCTAGCCAGAGCACAGGTCCAACACCCCCACCATCTCCTCAGAACTTCCTGGATCGGCTCTGTGCATACTGGACTTGCCCCTCAACGAGGGACCATCTTGAGCCTGCCCTCACCTGACCTTTGGGTCCCTTCACCTACCTTCTGCCTGAGTCCTGTCATACCAGACCATCTACCATCCTGAGCCTGCCTTCCACTCATCCTTGGCCCTGCTGGGCTCAATGCTCCAGAAAAAGCTCTAAGCATACTGGACCTGCCCTTCCATGCTGGACCATCTTGAGCCTGCCCTTACCAGACCTTGGGGCTCATTTACCTGACTTCTGCCTGAGTGCTTGAGACCATCCACAACTTGCCTTCCCCACATCATTAGCCCTGCTGTGGCCTCTGCTTGAAAGACCTCGAAGAGAGCTCAGATCATCCAGAGTTACTGGATCAAAATACTGACTCACCTACACCCACTGATAGAGCAGGAAAGAGGGAGAGAGAGAGAGAGAGAGAGAGAGAGAGAGAGAGAGAGAGAGAGAGAGAGAGAGAGAGAGGCCTCACCTGCACCCACTGGAAGAAGTGATGGGAAGGCAGCAATACAAGAAAACACTCAACAATAGAAAGACCAATATGACATCACCAGAATCTAGGGACTCTACACCATCTAGACAAGAACACACCAAAGCCGATGAAGCAGAAGAGAACAACTTAAAACATAACTTCATAAAAATGATAGAGGCCTTCAAAGATGGTATGAAAAAATCCCTTATAGAAATGGAAGAAAAAACAAACAAAAAATTGCAAGAAATAGAGGAAAAGACTGAGCAAAAAATGTAAGAAATAAACAAATCTCTTTTAAAAAGTAAGGGAAGCCAAGGGAAAAAAATCAAACAGATGAAGGATACAATTCAAACAGTTCAGAACCTGAGAATTGAAATAAAGACAATAAAGAAAACACAAACTGAGGGAATGCTGGAAATAGAAAAACTGAGTAAACAATCAGGAAGTACAGATGCAAACAGAACCAAAAGAGTACAAGAGATCAAAGAGAATCTCAGGTGTTAAAGATAAACTAGAGGAAATTGATTCATCGACCAAAGAAAATCTTAAATCCAGCAAATCCTTAACATAAAACATCCAGGAAATGTGGGACACTGTAAAAAGGCCAAATATAAGAATAATCGGCATAGAAGAAGGCGAAGAAGCCCAGCTCAAAGGTGCAGAAAACATACTCAACAAAATCATTGAAGAAAATTTTCCCAATCTGAAGAAGGACAAGCCTATGAAAGTACAAGAAGCATAGTGAACACCAAATAGACTGAACAAAAAAAAAAAAAAAAAAACCCTCATATAATAATCAAAACACCTAACATTCAGAATAAAGAAAGAATATTAAGGACAGCAAAGGAAAAAGGCCACGTAACATACAAAGGCAGTCCTATCAAAATAACACCTGATTTCTCCATGGAAACTCTCAAGGCCAGAAGGTCCTGGATAAATGTTCTGCAAATACTAAGAGTCCACAGATGCCAGCCCATGCTACTTTAGCCAGCAAAACTCTCAATCACTATAGACAGAGAAAACAAGATATTAAATGACAAAGCCAGATTTTCAAAATGCACAAATTGCAGACACCCAACAAACTCATGGTAACTGAGCAATGCACAATTGCGCCATTCCTAGTCAAGGAAGAAATAAAAGAAGAAATTAAAGACTTCCTAGAATTCAACAAAAATGAAGACACAACATAACCAAACTTACGGGACACTTTGAAAGCAGTACAAGATGAAAGTTCATTGTACCAAGTGCCCATAGAAGAAAACAGAGCATAGTCACATTAAACAATTAACAGCACAATTGAAACCTCTAGAACAAAAAGAAGCAAACTCACCCTGGAGGAGTAGACTCCAGGAAAGAATCGATTTGAGGGCTGAAATCAATAAAGTAAAAACTAGGAAAACAATACAAAGAATCAATGTAACAAAGAGTTGGTTCTTCAAAAAATCAACAAGATAGACAAACCCTTATCCTAAATAACCAAAAGCAAAGAGAGACCATGCAAATCAGCAAACTCAGAAATGAAAAGGATGATATAAACAGTGCACACTGAGGAAATCCAGAGACTCTTCAGGTCATATTTTGAAAACCTGTACTCCACAAAAAAGGAAAATTAAACACAAATGGATAAATTTCTGGATAGGTATCCCTTACCAAAATTAAATCAAGAACAGATAAGCAATCTAATGAAATAGAAGCAATCATCAAATGCCTTCCAAAAAAAAAAAAAAAAAGCTCAGGGCCTGATGGCTTCAGTGCAGAATTCTACCAGAAATTTGAAGAAGAAATAATGCCAATACTCCTCAAATTGTTCCTCAAATAGAACTCCTCAAATAGAAGCAGAAGGTTCATTACAAAACCCTTTTTATGAGGCTACAATTACCTTGGTACCCAAGCCACACAACTAAGAAAGTGAACTACAGACCAATATCCCTCATGAACATTGATGCAAAAATACTCAATAAAATGCTGGCAAATCAAATCCAAGAACACATCAGAGAAATCATCCAACATGACCAAGTAGGCTTTATCCCAGGGATGCAGGGATGATTCAACATACAAAAATCTATCAATGTAATCCACCATGTAAACAAATGGAAAAAGAAAAATCATATAATCATCTCATTACATGCTAAAAAATGACTTTGACAAACTCTAGCACCCTTTCATGATAAAGGTATTGGAGAGGTCAGGGATAACAGGAACATACCTAAAAGTAACAAAAGCAATATACAGTAAATCAACAGCCAACATCAAACTAAATGGAGAGAAGCTTATTGCAATTCCTCTAAAATCAGGAACAAGACAAGGCTGTCCACCATCTCCATAGCTCTTCAAAATTGTACTTGAATTTCTAGCTGGAGCAATAAGACAACAAAGGGAGATCAAGGGGATAAAAATTGGAAAGGAAGAAGTCAAACTGTCAATATTTGCAAATGATATAGTTTACATAAGTGACCAGAAAAACTCTACCAGGGAATTCCTACAGCTGATAAACACATTCAGCAAAGTGGCAGGATACTAGATTAACTAAAAAAATCAGTAGCCCTACTATATATAGACAATAAAGGGGCTGAGAAAGAAATCAGAGAAACATTACTCTTTACAATAGCCACAAACGACATAAGATATCTTGGGGTAATGCTAACCAAACAAGTCAAAGACTTATATAACAAGAACTTTGTCTTTAAAGAAAGAAATTAAAGGAGATACCAGATACCAGAAAGTGGAAAGATCTTTCACGCTATTGGATAAGTAGTCTTACTTACATATTAAAAATGGCAATCTTGCCAAAAGCAATCTACAGATTCAATGAGCACAATTCTTCACTGACCTTGAAAGGTCTCTCTATATATGAAAAAACAAAAGACCCAGGATAGCCAAAAGAACCCTGTAAAATAAAGGAACTTCAGGAGGCATCACCATTCCTGACTTCACACTCTATTATAGAGCTACATTCCTTAAAAACAGCTTGGTATTGGCACAAAAATAGACAGGTTGACCAATGGAATCAATCAAAAATCCTGATATTATCCCACATACCTATGCTTTTTGACAAAACAGCTAAAAGAATACAATGGGATGAGGAAAACATCTTCAACAAATAGTGCTGACATAACTGGATGATGGTATGTAAAAGACTGAAGATAGCCCTACCCATGTCTGTTGCCAGGCACAAAACTTAAGTCCAAATGGATCAAAGACCTCAACATAAATCCAGCCATACTGAACCTCTTAGAAGAGAAAGTAGGAGAACCCTTGTACAAATTGGTACAGGACACCACTTCCTGAACATAAAACCAGTAGCACAGACACTGAGACTGACAATTAATAAATGAGACCTCCTCAAACTGAGAAGCTTTTATAAGGCAAAGGGCACAGTTGACAAGACAAAACAGCAGCCCACAGAGTGGGAAAAAATCTTCACCAACCTCACATCTGACAGAGGGCTGATCTCCAAAATATACAAAGAACTCAAGAAACTAGTCTCCAAAACACCAAACAATCCAATTAAAAAGTGGGGTAAAGAACTAAATAGAGCATTCTCAATAGAGAAATCCAAAATGGCGAAAGACACTTAAGAAAGTGCTCAACATCCTTAGCCATCGGGGAAATGCAAATCAAGGCAACTCTGAGATACCATCTTACTCTTGTCAGAATGCCAAAAAATCAGAAACACCAATGACAGCTTATGCTGGAGAGGATGTGGAGAATGGGGAACACTCCTCCACTGCTGGTGGGAGTGCAAACTTGTACAGCCATTTTGGAGATCAGTACAGTGGTTCCTCAGGAAAATTGGAATGAGTCTACCATTGGATCCAGCAACCCCACTTTTAGGCATATTCCCAAATGATCCACATCCATGCAACAAAGACATCTGTTCAACTGTTCATAGCAGCATTATTTGTAATAGCAAGAGCCTAGAAGCTACCTGATGCCCTTCAACTGAAGAATGGATAAAGAAGATGTGGCACATTTATACAATGGAATTCTACTCAGCAGAAAAGAGCAATGGAATCTTGAAATTCCAAGGCAAGTGGATGGAACTTGAAGATATCATCCTGAATGAGGTAACCCAGTCACAAAAAGAGGAACATGGTATGTACTCACTTATATATAGATTTTAGACAGAGAGCAAAGATCACCAACTTACAATTCACACTGCCAGAGAAGCTAGGATACAAGGAGGAACCTAAGAAATTCTTACAAGGTAGCCCATAGAAGGGGAAAGAGACAAGATCTCCTGAGCATTTTGGGAGGGGGAAGTGAGTGGAGAGGGAGTTAGGAGGAAGAGAAGGGAAGGAGAGGAGAACATGTGGGACCAAGACGATTGAGTCAGGGGATGAATAGTTGAGAGCAAAAGAAGAGATAACATAATAGAGGGAACAATTATAGTCTGAAGAGAAAACTGACACTAGAGAAATGTCCAGAGACCTACAAGCATGACCCCAACTAAGAATCTGAGCAATAATGGAGAGGATACCTTAAATACTCTTCCCTGATAATGAGATTGATAACTAATTTATATGCCATCCTAGAGCTTTCATCTAGTAGCTAATGGAAGCAGAAGCAAACACCCACAGCTATACACTGAGCCAAACTCCTGGAATCTAGTTGCAGAGAGGGAGGAGTGGTAAGCAAAAATGTCAAGACCAGTCTGGAGAAACCCACAGAGACAACTTTTGTGAACAAGGGGGAGCTTATGGACCCTAGATTGATAGCTGGAAAACCTGCATTGGACTGACACAGACCCCCTGAAAATGAGTGTCAGTGTTCTGGGCAGTCTATGGTACTTCTAACAGTGGAACCAGGATGTATCCCTGGTGCATGAAAGGACTCTGGGAGCACATTCCCCATGGAAGGATACTCCCTTAGCCTAGAGACAGGAGGGGTGGCCTAGGCCCTACTCCAAATGACTTGAAAGATTTTGATGATCCTTCCTGGAAGGCCTTACCCTCCCTGTAGAGTGGGTGAGGAATGGGATGGGACAGGTCAGGGGGCATGGGAGGAAGGAAGGGAGAGGGAACTGAGATCGATATGTAAAATAAGAAAAAAAAATAAACAAAAAAGACTTCAGAAAAGTAAAGTAAAACAGGATATAAGTCAAATAAGGGGATGGGAGGGAAGTTGGGAGGAGGACAGGGGAGGAGGGGAGGATGAGGGAACTGGCAATGACATGTAAAACAAGCTTGTTGCAAATTTTAAAAAAATTATCAAAAAATACTTATATAAAGCTATGTCATTTTGTAACATATGATAAACGTTATACAATGTAATTAATAAAAGTGTAAAATCATAAAATCCTTCATAAATTTATATAATTTTATAACAATACAAATAAAGCACATATGTCTCCAATAAAAATGTTGTGATTTTTATTTTCATATAGTGTCATTATATGGTTCAAAAATAATCCTAATTGGTATATTTATAACATAACAGTAATATATATATATGTATATATATATATATAACATAACATAACAGCACTGTAATTAAAATGTATCTATTTATCAACACAGCATTTTGGGTTTTGAAATTTTTAGGTAGCTGGCTCAGCTGGTTGACACCACTTCCAAGCCTGACAAAGGGTTCCAGTCTCCAGATCCATGGGGCAGAAAGAGAAAATGCAGTCTCACAAGCTGTTCTCTGACCTGCATACACACACACACACACACACACACACACACACACACACACACACTCACACACACAGCTAAATCAAGGCTTCACCCTAAGTGTGTCTCACAAAAGAATACTCAGTAAACTGCTTTATATGTGTATTTAACTTTTTTCTCCATTGATGCAGCAATCTCATTAAAGTACATTAGCAGGGGTTCCCTTACCAATTTCTAAGCTACAGAGAAGCAGTAGAGGACAAGAGGTGAGCTGCCATTAATGTCCCCATTCCACTTTATCCCTGTATTTACATCACATGAGAGAGAAGAGGAAACGCCTGAGGAAAGGAAGGCTGGTGGCCCTGCCACCTTGGAAAAGCACTTAGCTTCTCTGAGATAAGAGTAGGGATACCAGCTGCTTGCAAACTCCAATCAGATACTTGTCTAGTGATTCAAAACAATCATTATAGGCACCAGTATGATCAGAACTGTCACCTGCATCTAAGCAGGTTTATCAAAAGGAAGCCTCCACTCTCTACAGGATACTCCACCTTTGTTCCCATAAAGAAATCACTGAATGGAATTCTTGTAATTATTCAGACACAATCCAGTATTCTAAGGGGAAAATATAGATAATCATATCTTGTACTCAGTGTTGAGGAAAGAGGAAACAAAGGAATATTGCCAAAAATCTTACCTCCAACAGAACACCTTCGAGCGATTTCCCAGTAAACCAGCCCCACAGAATAGATGTCAGCTCGCTTGAAGGACTCAAAGATGCTCACATTCATTGTGTCATCAAGCATTTCAGGAGCCATATACCTTAAAAAATGTGCACATTGAGATCCGGTCCAGTAAACTACAATTTTAATACATCGTGATTCAAAACATAAATTAAGATCACCTGCATCAATTTCAAAGGTACATCTCAGATACCATAATAGGGTGAAATTAAAAAAAAAAAAACAGTTATTGACTCAACCACCATTTTTAAACCTTTTAAATGAAACTAAAGGTCATACAGTTTTACATTATAGCAGGGTCACATTGGGAAGGTCAATGAGCAAAGCATTCAAAATCCCAAAACTTTGTCACAGAAAGTCTGATAAGCAGTGGGATTCATTCACCACAGGGGATTCAATCGCCAACACAAGGAAGGCTAAAAGGTATCCCACAAATACCTTCTCAGAATGAAGAGTTTTGCTATGTACTGTGCTATAAAGAACACTATAGCCCTGTTTGAATCAAGTTTAATGGTAAAGGTCCTTCAGTCACAGGACCTGACTGAGCCTAACTGGTCCACACAGTGTTGGGTGTTTCTCCAAATAGATACTCTTGAGTTCTTTTCAATATGTTGGGATCCTCCAAAGGAAACCAGCATCCCAGCCCTCCCAGTGGGCACCTGCTGCTGGAATGTAAGGTATGTGTCCTTACTGGGAAAAGGAGAGTGGTCCATTAAAACTGCACATTCTGAACATGCTTCCCTGGAATGTCTCAATGACCTCAATAATGTCTACCAGCAGACAGCAAATGGCTGGCAGGCACTGTCATGAAATTTCAGCTGCCTTACAGAGGCCAGCTCTACCTCCTTAGCACTCCTCTATTCTCAAGCACTTTAACAAGTTCAAGAAAATATTTTGACAGTTGTGATTTCAAGGACAAGAGTTCTGGAATTAGGAAAACATAGCATGAAGCATGGAACCTGGGTAAAGGAGATAGGAGACTGGCTGAGGAGCCACCTGCTGGTCAAAACGAAGAATGCAACAGAGGCTCAATAACTGATGAGCCTGTCATAGCCACAGCTGTATGTGCTGCTTTCACTTCCTGCTTCTGCCTAGCCTTATTATATTCTGTTCCTTGAAAGTGGAAACTGTGTTTAAATGCATTTTATCTCAAAGTACATGATTCTAGGACATTAAGGACAAGTCCAGCTACAGCTAAGTCAAAACTGGTACACTGTCTTTGTGTGTTAATGGAATAGACTATCACACAAATGGTTTTGTTATATAGTGTCCCTAAGCTATCTATCCCAATGCACACATTTTGCATGTGTTCTTTCAACCTGAGCCAGTACAGCAAGCCCTGGCTTGTGGTACTCTGATGAGGTATAAGATGCTGGACTTCCTGAAAGCATCAGTGTCAACCCCCAAAACCAAGTTCTCAGCACAAACGAGATTTATTCAATTTGCCTCCAGAAGGACAACAGGCATGGGAAAAGAGACAGAGACAGAAGATAAAGGATGAGGGAGAAGGGGAAGGAATAAGGAGGAGGGGACAAGGATATTTGTCCTAGGGGACAAAGGACTGCCTCTAGATACAGAGGAGACAGATATGGTGGTTAATCGGGAAATGGTGGTTTATAAATGCAAAGGGGGAAACCTTGCGTTAGGAGGTGTTTGATTTTAATTTGGCATGTTAATTACGTGAGCCAAAGGGGGCTTTTGATTGATGCACTTCAATACTTTGATAGCTGGATCATGGTAGTCGGCCTCAGGAGGAGGAAGAGGCCACATAAGGGAATAAACCTTGGTGGCTAGCTTTAGGGATGTAATCTAATGGTTTTTAGCAAGGCAGAGGGAATGGGAAAGAAGGCCAAGGCCTGCCGGCGCCATGTTTGCCATGTTCAAGCTGGCTAGAGTTCCTTCAGCTGCTATATATTACTGAGGTGGTTTCTTTTCTGCAGGAAAGACACCCAGAAAATGTGTCACATAAACAGGCCATGCCATTGTCTCCTCCACTACTACCATGTACTAGACTCTGCACTCAAGTAGCTGCTTCACTAGGACAAAAAGTCAGCTTCTCAATGTCTCCTAAAAGACTTCTTGATTTTTTTTTTTTAGGCCTAACTTTTTTTCACATTTGGACACACATCACAGGCACTCTTGTGTTTGATCAATCATATAAACTTTAGTAAGCTACCAACAAACATCATCTTACCTCTTTGTTCCCACTTTTGGATTCTGGGGTATGTCTATAGTGTTCATGATTGAATCATGTTTCACAGCCAGCCCTAAGTCAGCTATGGCACAAGTGTCACATTTTTTCACTAAGATATTCTTTGACTTTATATCTCGGTGAGCAATAGCAGGCTTACCTACAAAACAAGAACAGTGTATTCATTTTCCCCTACTGAAGACAGAAGCTTCTGAATCAAATCATTTGGAAGACTTAGCTAGTGTGTCTCCCTGCCAGATGCATCTTCCCCAAGTCCAGCAGAGTATCAGTTTGCTTTGGAGAGACATGCGGTGTCCTAGCCAAACTCCAAGCTAAGTGAGGGTAGTCACTTGCTTTACTCTCAAGCAGTTCCAATGTGCAGAGCACCAGCTAACAGTTGTGGACATTAATAACTACATTTTCAATAACCGAGTTCAGGTTACTACTATGTGTGAGCTATAACAGGGCTAATAAAACACATTCTCAAACTACTACTCTAGCAATTTCCAAGTGGGAACAGAGGATGGATCCATGAGGGTCCTTAAAACTACTATATATCTACCTATCTGGCTCATGCCACCATTTCTCCATTTACTTCAAATAAAACCATATAAGAGATAAATAGAATAATGAGCATATGTGAAATAAGCTAGATATTAAAGTTATTTTTAAAAGTGTAGAACAAAACCACTATTTTCATTACATTGCATTAGGAAAAAGCTGCAAAACATTTGGAAGCTGTTATTCACATTAATATTTAATTGGTTAATTGCAGTTCTTGAACTAAACAGTTGCTTAATTTCTCAATGAAAAGTTTTAATATGGAATGTACTAATAAATATAACATATATTTGCTGAAACTTTGGGTCACTCGATAGTTTATAAGAGTATAAAGGGGTCATGAACCTAAGGGCCTGTTTAGACTTGTGAGAGTCAGTTTCCTATAGACTCGGTAAATTGACAAAGCCAAGGATATTATTTGGTCTTCAAGTATTATATTCAAATATTCGGTTTTATCCTTTTGAGACAGTTCCAGCCTAGTATTGGACTCACATGTAACCAGAACAACCCCAAACTCACCGACATTTTTCTGCCTCGGCTTCCCACACAAATATTCTTTCACGGTCATGTTATCCTTTCCCACTGAATTTTAATTCTCAAAAGCAAGCATTTACACCACCTGCAATAAGTGAATATATAGCCTTTGCCACCAAAATAAGACCTCCAGGCTAAGGGCATGGATGGAGCCACTGGGAATAAAAATACAGCATGAATAACATGTGTGGTGCTGAAAATCTGAGAAAGTTGTTTGCAGCATGACAAGAACCTCCCTTTTTTGAAGTACCTCCATTGTTCCTCTGAGTCTGATGATTGTAAAGAATTAAAATAAAGTCAGTACAAAGACCAGCTTTCTGAAAGGACATGCATACCTTGAGTACCAACGATCTCCATATGTAGGTGAGCGAGACCACTGGCTATTGAAAGTGCCAGTTTGATCATTCCAGCCACGGTCACTATGTTTCTATTCAAATAGTCATATAAGGATCCCTGCTCATGATACTCTGATACAAGCCAAAGTTGAGTCCAAGTTCCATTATCTAACGAAAAATAAAACATCATTGGCTGTTGTAAATGTTGAGGGAAGGCAAGCAAGCACTTTTAACAGCAACAGCATTTAAAGCTTATAGGTACCACTTGTTAAACAAACGTAATTCTTTCAGCAGGGAAGCTGGGCTTAGGGAAGTATAAAGTTCTCCATGAGTTATTGAAGATATGGGTATAGAGGAAACTTTCATGGAAACAGAAAGTTGTGGAAGGTGGTTCAAACGAGTGAGCAACTCTCCCTGCTTCCTTTCACCAGTAGTTGCAGGTGACAATTCCCACTGTGTATGGGAAAGTTTGGAAAGATGCATTGTGGGAGACACTTCTGAGAGGATCAGCCTTGCACTGTACTCTTAAAAGCTTTAAAACAAAAAGAGTAAACCAATAACAATGGCAAGAAATATAACTAATTTACAGCAACTGCTGTTACTACCACAAGAATGCTGACATTCTAACAATGCTCATGATGTCTGCCTTTAAAAAAATAGGAAGTTATGCATGCCAAACAGTTTTATAAAGAGCCAGGTTTTATGATATGATTGCTAGATGTTCTCTGATAGCACACCCATTTAAACAAAAACTAACCCAGCATTTTTTTGAAAGGATTTTAACAGATGAGAAATAAGTCTGATACTTCTCAGTGTAGCAGCACTTCAACAATAGTTTTAGCTTTCTAAACCAGTGTCTATGACAGTATAGGCAGCCCTGGCCAGCCCTGAGATGCAAATGAACTCTATAGTGAACATTTTGCTTGGATGCTTTCCTGCAAGGTGCTGTATGTTCCAGAGCTGGATGCTATCCACCAATTTCTTTCACAACCAGGCAGTAAAAAAGCTTCATAACATACAAAAAGCAGTATACTATAAAGTTCATTAATGACCCATGACACACTGACATCACCCTTAGACCTGCCCTGCTGTCGCCTGCACCTAGCTATGCTCTCTCACAGCAAAGTCATTGTTAGACACTAGGCTACAATATAAACTGTAAATGTTTCATGAATAAAGAATTTGTGAAGATTAAAATATTAGAGACTATGGAGTATCTGTACAAAGTAACTGGCAAGTAAGGATATGACTGAGAGAAGCCAGTTAAACAAAAAGAAACAGGGGCTGGAGAGATGGCTCAGCCTGTAAGAGCTCTGGCTGCTCTTCCAGAGGACCCAGGTTCAATTACCAACAACCACATGACAGCTCACAACTGTCTGCAACTCCAGGTCCAATCTGACACCCTCATCCATGCAGATAAAACATCAATGCACATAAAATAAAATTTAAAACAGAAAGAAACAAAAATGAAAGGTGACCTCTTTGAAACAAATTTGTGAGTAAGCTACCAGGGGGACTTTTCGCCAACATGGCTCCGAAAGCGAAGAAAGAAGCTCCTGTCCCTCCCAAAATCAAAGCCAAAGCAAAGGCCTTGAAAGCCAAGAAGGCAGTGCTGGAAGTGTAAGGATGGAAAAATTTAGCCTAATTTTCCCTAGTCTCTGCCCCCTAGCAGTGAGTAGGCAAAAGGTCATTCTTGACTGTTTAAGACAGGGCGGGTTACTGACAGCACCTGTGAGTGAATGTGAACAGGAAATGAGCTGTGCCACACTACCCAGAGCCCTAGCGAAAGCAGACTTCCTGGGCAAAGCAAGGGCTTTGATAGTTCAAATTAATTGGTCCACACTGGATGCTATGATTGGTTTGTAATGCGCGGGCTTTGTTGTAACCTTATAAAAGCTGTCTGAACCCTGTACCAAGGGTTCCCAGTCCACTACCCCACGTGGAGTATGGCTGCAGACCCCAGTGCACTGGAATATAAAAGACCTCAAGCTTTTGCATCAAGACCGCTTCTCGTGAGTGATTTGGGGGGTGCCGCCTTTCCTGAGTCGGGGCGTGAGGGTTCGAGCCCTCTGCATGTCTTTCAAAAGCTGTCCATAGCCACAAAAAGAAGATCTGCATGTCACCCACCTTCCGGCAGCCCTAGACCCTGCATCTCTGGAGGCAGCCCAAATACCCTTGAAAGAATGCGCCCGGGAAAAACAAGCTTGACCACTATGCCATCATCAAATTCCCCCTGACCACTGAGTCAGCCATGAAGAAGATAGAAGACAACAACACACTTGTGTTCATTGTGGACGTCAAGGTCAACAGGCACCAGATCAAACAGGCTGTGAAGAAACTCTATGACATTGATGTAGCCAAAGTCAACACCCCTCATAAGGCCTGACAGAGAGAAGGCATATGTTCGGTTGGTTCCTGTTTATGATGCTCTGGATGTTCCCAACAAAATTGTGGGGAAAAAAAAATGTGATCATCTAAACTGAGTCCAGCTGGCTAATTCCAAATATACACATTTTCACAAAAAAAAAAAAAAAAAAAAAAAAAAAAAAAATTACCAGGGGGAAGTGTTTTCTTAACCTTGGGACAGTGTTGGTTTTTCAAAACTCTGGATATAGTGTTAAAGCATTTTCCCTTAAGAACTTGGAAAGAGGGACTAGAGAAGTGGCTTAGCAGTAAAGAACACTCACTGCTCTTCCAGAGCAACCTGGTTCAATTCCCAGCATCCACTTAGTGGCTCACAATAATCTGTAACTCCAGTTCCAGGAGTATCCATTGCCCTCTTCTGGCTTTGATGGGCACTAGGCACAGACATAAACATGAGCAAACAACCAAAACACATAGAAATGATGATGATGATAAATAGAACTTGTGAAGAACTTTCCCTCTTGACTTATCTCATTTTTACTCTTCTTTCTTACAAACCAGAACTAAGAAGTATAATTCTGGTCAAAACGTGCAATAAATGCTGAGTCTCTCTTTTGCCATCTAGTTAATAATAAATAAAATCATGATCACGTTTCTGTTAGACAAAACTTTTTTTTTTTTAATTTCCCAAGCAATAGTAGATGTGTAAAATTCACAGGTACTTGTGTTTAACTTTTCCTTTTTGGCTTTTTAATGATATTATAACTGTGACTCCATCAAGTTCTTCACAGATATTGATTAAAGTTCTAATTTCAAACCTGGCTAGATTAAATTTTCTCACTCCTGTCTGCATTTCCCTTTGTTGTCCAGAAAAATGAACCAAAGCTTTGTAGGAAGAAGAAAGAGAATGAAGGAAACCTTTCCTCACTGCCCCAGGACATGTACAATATTTTAAGAGTACTGACCAGACAGATGATCCGCTTTGTTCCAGGACACTGAAACAATTTACAATTACCCATCTGTCAATGTTAAACTTCAAATCGTGAGACATAGCCAAGTTAACAAAGATAAAAAAAAATGTACTAACAATCCCTTGCCCCATTCTCACAGTCTAGAGGTGAGATGTGTTGAAAAGTGTACACTGGCACACAAAGCCTGTGATACAGATTCCACCCTAGATGATGAACAGTGGCCATTCAGAATTCTAATATTTTCCTGCTACAAGCACACCCAAATGCCCCTTCACAGTCCAAAATGCCTCTAGATGTTTGCATGACCCAGGGTGACTAAAGACAGGAAATTAAGCTAGTAGAGTGGGTTTTCTGAGGACTGGCTCCAGTTGCAAATGGCTGGTTCCTACCCAGTACCAGTTAGCTAACATTTTAAACATTAGCTTCACTGTGTAATCCTCACTCCACACTAATTGTCTGCTGCTGCCCTTCCCTGCTTAGTTATGGGCATTTACTTGTGGGAAAGAAAAGAGAATTTTCTTAGTAAAGAAGATAGAACTTTTATGTGTTTTCTCTAACTTACAAATAATCTGACGTTTTTCTTGCCGACCATGGTGAGAATGACCTTACCTTTGTTGTCAGCTGCAATGAAGCCAAGGATGTTCTCATGTCTCAGCATCACTGTCTGATAAATTTCTGCCTCGCGAAACCAAGATCGTTCATCTCTGGAGGAGAATATTTTCACAGCCACATCTTCCCCACACCATCTCCCATGCCAAACTTCCCCAAATCGACCTTTTCCTACTATTTCTTGCAGTACAATAGTCCTTGCGATTGTTCTTTGAACCAGAAGAGGCAGACCTAGTCAAGGAAGAGGCAGACTGATGATGCAAAGCGAAAGTCACAGTGATGGCCACTGCCACATAAAAAGCAAACACTTAAGCACATTAGCAACTTTACTAAATTTGAAGAAATAAGCATCATTACAATAAACTTTAATGCCAATGCATGACCTATAAAATGTCCCAAATCATTAATTTCTCTTCTCTTACTCACAAACAAAGCTTTCTGAACACAGCCTGCTGCTGCAGATGTCTGATTTCTAAGAACTGTGGCAAATCCCCCGAATTTCCCATAAAGCCAGCCTGATTACTAAGGACTCAGAGGAAAACATGCATGGCTAACACTTAAAATAAAATTCATAGCCCCTACATACTACTGTGAAAGGAAAAGAATTTTTTGTGGATTTCTTTTTTCAAAACAAAATTAAAATCTACATATAAGGAATCAAATTCCATGACAGAGTAAGATAAGCATGTTACATTAAGAATATGTTGTCTGTGAAGTAAATTCAAGAAAAACATGTTCTACAGATAAATGTGATACTCAATCTTTTGTTGTGGTTGTTTTAAAATGGGATCCCTGGCTGTACTAGAACTCACTATACAGAACAAGCTGGCTTCAAACTCATAGAGACCTGCCTGCTTCTGCCTCTCAAGTGCTGGGAATAAAGATGAATACTACCATGCCCAGACTGGTTGTAATATTGAAAATAGTAACTCTAATTCTAAAGTTCTATCCTAGAGAATTAAGTCAAAATGTAGAAAACCTGTGTAAAATATTGAATACATTGTTGTTATTAATATTAAACAAAAGGGAAGCCTTACAAGAAAGAAGGCATTTGTCAACTATGGTACAGATGCATAAGCATGGGTAAGAAAAGACCTGGGTTCCAGTTTTAGCTAGAGCATCTAGTCACCATGGTCAACTAACTTAACTGCTGTGAGTTTTAGCGTTCTCTGGGAAACTGGACAGTATGAGAGTTAATAAGGAGGCCAAGCAGCTTTCACTGTACCTGACATAATGCATGATCAAACGATGGTCACCCTCAATCTTACAACAACCTCAGCATGGATCACATGAGATTAACCCTGACTCTGCTGCTAATGAAGCCCAATTCCAGCAACACTGGAATCTACTCTGCTGCACTGTTAAATGAGAACAGTGTGGTAAGTGCTACCTATATTGTGTTCAAACTGTGCATAGAAAAGAAACTGAACCACAAGGTGGAATCAGAGTGAGTTACAATTTTCTTTCTTCTCATTTGCTGTATTTTCAGCATAGGGTCCATGAAAAGTTTTTCTTATTCTTGTAATTGTGTTGTTAGAAAGCAAATAGTTAAAGAGGCTACAAGCAGAACATATTCTAGAAAGTCAGCTTGGTTATTGTCACTGTCCTCAGGTGGTTAGAGAAAACAATGCCCATGTGGCTCCTTGGGGGCATTGTCCCCTGATCCAAGAATGAGCCAGTGTTTACACAGATGTTCTCATCTCCAGGAGAACCACCCACGATGGTAAATAGGCACAGACTATAAATTCACTGGTATGAGCCTCAACAATTAGTCACTAAGCTCCACAGTCCGAAAGTTCTTTTGGAACCATCTGGTTCAACCTCACCATTTATCCATGAGAAAATTAGAGCCTGACAGTAATCAGACTTAAAGAGAGTCTACTGCTGCTGGTAGCTGACCCAGAATGCTTTGTCCCTCATAGGAGGACAGACCTGTGTTCCTCTCTGTGGGAGGGAAGACATCCAGCAACAAATAGCCAGGGTTATTTTTGTAGGCTTCAGTCAATGTTTTTGGCACAAAGTGACACTAACAATTATTAAGTCAAATCTCAGCATCTCCCTTCCCATATCATCACTGACAGAGAGAGACAGAGAGACAGAGAGAGAGAGAGAGAGAGAGAGAGAGAGAGAGAGAGAGAGAGAAAAATAAACCAGTAAGAGAGTGTTTTCACACTGCAGTTTTTGTATCACCCAATTGGTGGACAAAGAACATCACATCATTTAAGGGGACCAGCAGGGTGAGCCGGGTGAGACCCTGCTCAAAACCCTCCGAAGCAAATAACAAAATGAGTCTGGGTACTTTTTGTGTTACACAGCTTCAGGCTCCATTTGAACAAAAATTTTGCCTCTTGCTATGAGTTCATTTTAATCTTTTCACCAGGGATTATAGAAGCTGATGTCTGGCTTGTGTCACCATCTGTCGGAACGTTATACAGTAAGACAAAGAAGCAGGCTTCCTACTTCCGTGAAAGCCGCCTGAGACAAAGCCCACTCTCAAGCATAGTCCAATAAAACATCATTTATTTTCACTTTGTAGGCTCTCCATCTCTTTGAAATTTGTCCCTGACCTGGTCAGGGATAAGCTTCGTAATCAGGGTTTTTCAATATCTGACAAAGCTGCCTCAGATTCAAGGTCACCAACCAATTGAGAAAGGCAGAAAGGAAGCAGACTGGTCCAGTGTCCTCCTCACAGGCAAGCTATTGTGGCAGAAGCCTTGCCGAAGGTAAGCCTGTCCTCTGATGATTAAAGGCATGTGCTTTTAGCTAGGGGTCACTGCCAAACAAACTGGCTTTACAGAGACAAAATGCCCAAAGCTTGTTCCAATTTGTCCTTAAGGAAATGTATCCATTAGCAGAGTCTGGTGATGCAGGTCTGTATTCTCAACTATTTGGGATGCTGAGGCAGGGCTAGTAATACCTTGTCACCACCACCTTACCCTACCTCCCACCCCCAAACACAAACAAAGCTCAGAGAAAGAACACTTGCCCAGAACTTGCTGTGTGAGACCCTGGGTTCAATCTTCACCTCAAAAACAAAAAGAAATTATCTGGGCTTGGACATATGTTCTTCCTGCCATAAAATGTCTTAGCATATTCTCACCCAGAAGCCAGCAGAGTCACACTCATGCTTGAAAACACACCTTTAAAACATTTAAGAGGATTTTTTTCTCTAATTTTTATTGATATATATATATATATGTATATATATATATATATATACATATATATATATATATACACACACACACACACACACACACACACACACACACACACAAAACCTGATGAGTCTGTTTGGTGTTTGTCGAAGTGTGGGGCCCCTTTGAGATTTTCCTTCCACATTAGCATGTTTATTGGTGTTGTCCTGATTCTCATCTTGCTCAAATGAGGTATCATGGATGAAATTTCCCTGCCATTTCTAGGAGACACAATCTCATAGGAGACTTCTTGGTCCTCTGGCTCTTACAGTCTTTCCACCCCATCTTCTCTGTGATGTGTCCTGAACCTCAAGTGTAGGAGTTGTGTTGTAGTTGCATGCCTTGTGGATAAGCACCCTGGGATCAGTTGTTCTATGAATTTTGAACAGTGTTGGCTCTCTGTAATGGTCTCCATATGCTGAGAAAAAGCTTCCTTAGTGAGGTATGAGAGCTACACTAATCTGGATCTATGCTACATGTCAAAGTTCAGCTCTTGACCTCTATGTGTGTGTGTGTAAAATCTGGTAGCATTTCTTTATTTGTGTATGGCGGAGAGCACCATAAGGAGGGTGTGGTCAAAGAACAACACGTAGAGGTTGGCTCTCTCATTCTTGGAAATGAACTCAGGTCATCAGGCTTGGTGGCAAACACCTTTACCCAATGAAATATCTTGCCAACTCAATTCTCCTTTCTTAAATTAGATATCTAGTCTCCTGCATATTAATTTGTGTTATTTTTTATATGGAAAAGAAATCCTTGGTCAGATTCAGTACACTTAAAAGTAGGAAAATATGCAAACACCATGACCAAAAGAACCATGGAGGAGGAAAGGATTTATTTGCCTTATACCTGCAGAGCACAATACATCACTGAAGGAACTCAGGGTGGAAACTCGAGGCAGGAACCTAGAGGCAGGAATCATGGAGGAACATTGCTTGCTGGGAAGCTCCCTGGGATATTCTCATCTATCTAGCTTTCTTGTATAGTCCAAGACCATCTGCCCAGGGATGGTACCACCTACAGTGGGCTGTGCCATCCTGCATCATTTGTCAGTCAAGACAATTCTCCCATTAACATGCCAACAGGCCAAATTGACCCAGGCAATTGTTCAGCCGAGGCTTCTACTTCCAGATGTCTGTAGGTTGTGTCAATTGGACAATGAAAACTAAGCAGGACATGACCTAACATCAGCAAGTGAACGAAAATGTTTCTGTGGGTAAAAAATAAAAGGTTGTTCAGCACTTTGAAAATGATCAAGAAGTGTGTTTCTAGAAATTAAGTTTAAATCAGAGTCCTTTGCTCCCAGAAAGTTGGCAGGACTCAAACTTTTAGAGTATAGTAGTTCCCAACATAAAATATCCAAAGACGCAGAGTTTAAACAGTGAGGAATATTGTTTTTAAGATAAAAATGTAACCCTTCTATAGAGTGACATAATTTGGATTCCAGCTTTATATGCTTTGCAATTGCAGAATTTTCAACTCTTGGTTTCCTCCAGGAAAACATCTCACTCAATGTTACAGTGACAGCCTGTACCATTAGACTCTTCTGATCAACAAGATTATGTTCTTTTCTAGAGTGCTTCCTGTTATATTTAAGTGCCCATAGGAATGTGATGTTGTTTCCTCACCAACTCTCTTAGCTGTGTCTGCCTGGATGTTACCCACACACACCAGCCAGAGAGTTCCTCAAAGCCTTGTGTTTTGTTTTGTTTCCTTGCTTTTCATTTTTTTTTTTTTTTCAAGGCAAATTTTGCTATTTAGTCCGGGTTGGTGTCTAGCCTGGGAAGCTCCTATCATAGCATTCCTAATACTGAGATTACAGACAAGTACCAGCATGTGGAGCAATGGCACTGATTATCCTATCCTTCTAAAACAAGAAGAGATGTAGGAGTTTCAGAAGTGACTTTCCCTGGGTGTCCTTTTGGTCATATTTCTGTAGAGCCAAGGGCCAAGGTTTTCTAGAAATTCAGATGGGTAGAGAGGAGTCCTTGTAACTGCAGAGAAATCCTGTCCTGCCCCTACTCTTGAAATGTTTTGTGCTATGAAAAGGGCTCTTTTATTCTAGGATGCAGTCTGCCCCTTGGGGTTTCTTTATCAGCATTCTGAATCCATTAAAAAAGAAAATGTAATGTGATAACAGTGAATAGATAACCTTGAGCTGTAGGAGCCAGCTAGGAATGATGTGAGCTTCCTTCACATTCCCATTTTTGGGCTTCCAGAACTTCATATTGAGTTAATTACAGGGCAGCAAATTGTTAGCTTCCAAAACACATCTTGGGGAGGTGGGATGCCTACAGATTCAGAAGGTCTTGGTGACTGACCACAAATATTCACAAGGAACACTGCTTTATTAACTAACACATTTCCCCATATTTCAAAGACTTAAACTCAACACTCCTAACTTCCTCACTACTCTGTTTCTATGGAACAGCCAAAGAAAGCAGCAGTGATGGCTTTGATCATAGTGGGAGGTGTTAGCATTCAGGAATCTTTATTGACCAGCCCTTGGGGTTGTGACAGGACCTCAGCCATAGACACTAAAGAGTATCACCTTGTGCACTATGTTTCCTTTTAAAAGGGCCCTGCCTACCATCTCCCAACTCTCTCTCTCTCTCTCTCTCTCTCTCTCTCTCTCTCTCTCTCTCTGCTTCTCTGCCTGTCTCTGTCCCCTCACCTCTCTTTTCTCTTCTGCTGCTTCTGTCCCCCGAAGTTGGTCTCCCTCCCTCCTTGTCCCATTTCCTTTCCTCTAATAAAAAACACCTCCACATGAGCTCTCAAATGGTGTCTTTCTCTCACACATCACTTTTTAAATTACAGCAGGAGGAGGTAAAGGACAACAGGAAAGCCAAAACAAATAAACAAAGAATCAAATCCCAAGGTAAAAAGCAAAAACAAATCAGACCCCAGAAAGCTTCTTTGGACTTTTGAGAAGACTCTATTTTTTTTTTAAGTAGGATTTTTTTAAATTATTCATGCAATATATTTTGATCATGTTTTCTCCTCCTCCAACTCCTCTTCACCCAACCCCATGCCCCCGAGTGTGTGTGTTCGAGTACAGGTAAATGTTTATCTGTCTCTGTCTTTTTAAAAAGAAAAGAGGATGTGGAAATGGAATGCATTGTTATGAAGAGATAAAGGAGAAACTAAAACAAGATTAAATGGAAAGAGGAACAGGAAAAAGGAGAGAATGTGTGGAGGTACAACTAACCCTAAAGGCCTTTTGAGAAACTGTATGGAAACCTGCTACTGTAGATGACTCGCATGTAATCCTTAAAGAGATTCCTGTTCATGAGTTTATTTATTATGTACCTCATAGAGCACTTTAGTTGATGAGTTCACATTGGACACTTTTATCAAAAAGACTCTTCATTTATTTTTTAAAAAAGAGCTTGCGTATTGAAAACATACACATACCAGAGCCTGAACCTGAGGCAGTAGCATCATAAATCAGATCTTTGAGTGTTTTCCCCGCGTTTACCAGACTGTACTCTGCCAGAGGTTCCTCCACGTTGTGCCTCTTGGTCTTTCTGTATGTGCACTGGCGGTCCTGGCATGCCCAAATTGTCAGCATGGCAGCTATGGACAGGAGGCAAACAGGCACAGTGATAACAACGGTCAGCTCCGTGGGGCCAAATCTGGGGGCATTGGGTGATACTGCAGTTTAAAAATAAAGAAAAAGAAGAAAGGAAGGAAGGAAGGAAGGGTCAGTCATAAATCAACTCATGTAAAATGTTTTTAACATTTTATTTTTTAAAAATTAGTTTTCTGTATATTATAATTTGTTTGTATTGAACACTTGAGAATTTTGTAGTAATTCTAAAACAGAATATTATTTTATTTTATTTTTGAGACAGGGTCTCATGTAGCCCTGTCAGCCTGAAACTGTAGCCAAAGATGACCTTGAGCTGTAGACCCTCCTCTTTCCACCTTAACATGCCACAAGCATGATGGTATATATGTATGAAATTTCACAATGAAATCCATCCATGTCTTTGTATGTAAGTTGAAAAAATTAGTTTAAAAGTACTAACATTAAAAAAACATTTTGGAATGGGTGGTGGTGGCATATGCTTTTAATCCCAGCATTTTGGAGGCAGAGGTAGGAGAGGTAGGATAGACAGCTATCTGTGAGTTCCAGGCCAGCCTGGTCTACAGAATGAGTTCCAGGGCAGCTAGACAGTGCTGTTACACAGAGAAACTCTGTCTTGAAAAAAAAATATATGTATACATATATATATATGTATACATATATGTGTATAGATAGATAGATAGATAGATAGATAGATAGATAGATAGATAGATAGATAAGAAAAAGGTAAGAGGTGAATGCAGCTTCTACAATGACATTAGGGGTAGAATTATGCAAAGCATCTGCTTTGAAGAACTTTAAAAAATACCCAAAATATTTGATACTTTTATTTTTACTGTTTTCCCCTTGTTCTTCAGCAGTCCTCTCCTTACAGCAAATCTATCCATCCATTCATTCATTCCACAAATAATCACTGGACTCTTGGAATGTGCTGCTATTATTCCAGGCGGTGGAATAAATGGTGAGTGAAGAACCCAATCCCTGCTCTCCAAGCACATGAACTCTCATAGATCCAGACAGCTGAGCAGAAGGTTGCATAGCATCAGTGCATGAGGGCATAAGTGCTACAAGGATGAATCAGCAGAGAGGACATCATGATGGTAAGAGGTCACTAGACTGAGTGGTCCTAGAAGGCCTCTCTGGGCAAGTGTCATGGAGACCAAGAAACAAAGCAAGATTGAATGGCAGGCAAAGATGCATGGTACCAGTATGGCAGCAAAACCAGTGCAAGGGACCCAGAGGTGGGCACCTATCTGGTCTGTTAGGAAGCATGTCTAGACTGCAGGAAACAAGGAAGAGACAGGAAGTGGGATCAAGGAATTAGGGGGAAACTTTGTGGTATGTTGCAGGCTAAGGGAAGGAGTAGAGGTTTTGTTTCACAAAGAAGCTGTTGTGAGGTTTTGAGATATGGTCAAACTTTTATTCTGAGTGGAACAAGAAGAATGAACATGGAGACCAGCCAAAAGCCAAGGTCAACAAGCCTGATGGAAGGCAATCATCTCAGCTAACACCACTACCAAAAAGTGTCTTCATTAAGCTGGGCCCACAGCAACAAACCTGTATTCCCAGACACAGCCGAATAGAAAACTCAAGGCCAGCATCGACTACATAATTTAATTACCTCACAATTTAAAAAAAAAAAAGTTTTAAACTTTTAAAAATAATTTCTTCCCAATCTCTACTCACTCCCTGGAACTTTGCTATGCTTCCATTCTAGGCTAATATCACCTCGTGGCTGTCAGGTCATTTGTTCATTCATCTATTATCTGATTCTCTCTGAGGACACAGAGGAAGCTGCCTGCAGTATTCCTTCTTGACTACCCAGTGCTGACACAAGTGCTGGACACATAGCTCAGTAAGGAGGACTTAACCAACTGGCAGCGTCACTGAACATTCAACTAGTTTTCTTCCTGGTAAGTAAAAGAACTCTGTCTTAGAAACTTCTGTGTCATCACTAAAACCAAACAAGAGAGAGACATAATTAGAGGTAGGGGAAATGGCTTAGTAGGTCAAGTGCTCTCTGCCAAATGTAAGGAACAGAGCTCAGATCCCCAGAACTCATATAGAGGTGAGAGGACATGGAGGCCTGCCTGTAACCCCAGAATCAAGAGACAGAGGCAGGATTCTCCTCAGAGCAGGCTGCCTGACTAGACTAGCCAAATGACCAAGGTCTCGAGTCAGAGAGAGACCCTGCTTTAATATATAAAGTGGAGACCAACCAAAGAAGACACCTGATACCAACCTCGGATCTTCACACACACACACACACACACACACACACACACACACACACACACACACGCACACATTCACACACGCACACACATAAACACACATACACACACTCACACACAGGCATAAACATACACACACATAAACACACACGCACACATACACTCACACAGATACACACACATACACATACACACACACATACACACACATACACATACACATGCACACACATAAACACACATACACACACTCACACACATGCATAAACATACACACACATAAACACACACACATATACATATGAATCCCACACAAACACATACACATTAAAAAAAAAGATACAATTATTTGCAGCCATCTTTTTAATGGAAAGTTCATCTTGCACTTCAGATTTTCCTTTTAAATTTACAAAATCAGTGATACATAAAAGGCTCATGACTACAGACATGTTCTGTACTTAAGCAGTTAGCTTGCCCCACTTTTAAACTGGTGTATTGTTTGCTTCCTTTTGGCTTATGGAAGTCTGCCTCAATTTTATAGTTGTGTCTCATCTCCAGCACTGCTGACTTCGGTTACTTTGCTTTTTAAAAGTTCGATTTATGTATATTTATATGTATGTGCATGTTTACCTGTTTGTCTGTATGTATACCATATGCATTCAGGCGCCTGTGGAGGCCAGAAAAGAGTGTAGGAACACCTGAACTGGAGTTACAGATAGTTGTGAACTGTCCATTGTGGGGGCTGGGATCTGAACCCAGGTCCTCGGCAAAAGCACTACGCACTCTTAACCACTGAGCTACCTCTTCACCCCCTGACTTTTGTTTTTAATAAGTCTTGAGATGTATTTGACAGATTGTGGCATCAGAATTTAGGATATTTGAGGTCTCAAAGGTCAAAAGATTGCCCCACACTTGTGGAGACAGAGAAGTCCTACTTGGCTGTGAGTCTCCTCAATCTCATGCCGAACCTTGGACTAACTGCACCTTACACACACAGAGCTGACCCCATCCTGCCTATGAAAGTTACAGACCACCAACTGAGGGCATAACACCTGTGATTTAGAAGCCAAATAAATGGTCTTCCTTTTTACTGCCAAAACTGGAGAGTAGTGAATTACTGATACTTGAATTTCACTCATGATATGGCAAAAAATATATATATGAGAAATATTTGAAGATAATTAGTTTTGAGAGGAAAAACATCAAACTCCTCCACAGTGTATTCCTAGGTGTTTCTTCATAGTCCCAGAAGCTGTCAGTCAGCTAACAGTGAGGAAAGGGCCCCGAAGCACAGGCCAGACTCTTCTGCTTCCATGGTGAACTGTAACTGGCCATCACATACATTGTGTATTTCTAGAACTCCTCTGGCATCATTAGCAGTTGCACTGATATTCTTCAACGAGTGCTAAAAGTGCTCTCAGATGACTTGGCTTCAGAAATCCTTAACCAAGTCCTTGTGACTTTTGAAGTCTGTTGTTGTAAAAGAACACTCCCGTCCATTCTACAATGATTATTCTATTTTCTTGTCTTCACAAAGGATCCTTGGTGTTCAGAAAAGCTGCCTATCACCTAGGACTTTTTTAAAATACCTGTTCTACATGTTAACATCTTCTAACTTCAATTCTATCCAAGGAGGCATTCATATAATTTATGAATTTATTTAATGTTGGTATCTCCTATTAGAAGTCACCAACATAAACATCAGCCTTTAGCTACTGATTGCCTTCATTTTGACAAAGCTCTATTAAGCAGAGCCTGGCTTATTGTTATGGAAACTAATAGAAACAAAAGGTCAGCAAACCTGAAATCAGGGTCACCTGCCATGGCACAGGCAACTGCTCTCAGGGATGTTTACTGTAGATGGCCAGTGTTTCCCCTTTGTGAAGAGATCTACTGATACGATACAACTCAGTAAAAAGCAAAAAAAAAAAAAAAAAAAAAAAAGAAAGAAAAGAAAGAAAGAAAAAGAAAACAAAAGATTACTCAGCTAGAAACAAGCTAGCAACACCATCCAGAAAGGACTCCTTAAACAGTGAACAATCCTAAAAGCAAACATGTGTAAAAGTTTGTTCCTTGTAATCCTAACAGGAAAGAAATAAAGAAAAGGTGTGCCTACAGCCAATGAGTCAGGATAGAAGACAGCAGTAGTTAGCTAGGGAAGCATTTTTAATAAAATATAGCTTTGACACAAATACTACGTTTGGAGCAAGATCTTGATCACAGAACTTATTGTTTGACCATTTCTAATGTGAGTGATTTTTCGGTGCCTCTGGGGGTGCAGTGACCATGAAAAGGGTAGCCTCAGGAGGGGACATGTGACAGCCCACAAGTGAAGTCTGGGAAGCACTGCACCAGTAATTCAAAGATTTCCTTCCTAAGCCAATTAAATGAAAGAGAATGGAAGACAGACGTGCTCGGCCAGCAGTGAGGGAATCCAGCTCACACACATCTCTACAGAGCCCTGGAATCCATTGAACTGGGAAAGCAAATACAAGTGTCCTTTGGTATTTATGGGGGACTAATTTAAAATTCACACTCATGTCCCTTATATAAAATGGAATAGCACTCTTACATAACCCACTCACCACTCCTCCACACTCTTTACTTTGTCTCTAGATTACTTCCAAAAACTAATACAATGGAAATGCTATGTCATGGTCACATGGTATGAGCAATCATGACAAAGGAATGCTCTGTAGTGATGTACAGAAACACAATTTTCCCCCCCTAAACACTTTCAGTGAGCAGCTGACTGACTCTGTGGAGGCAGGACTCATAGATGGAGGGGGGGCAGGTAGAAAATGGATAAAAGGAAGGAAAAACAGAGGGAA